AACAACAACAACAACAACAACAACAACAACAACAAAACAACAGCAACAACAACAATAAAACCACCACCATCCCAACCTCCACCAATACCAACAACCACAACAACACCATCTATCCACATACTATACCCCCACCAGCTACGAGTTACTTCTGGGAGAATGAGGAACTCGATAGCGACGTCTGGTGGCCACACGAACCCAACAGGATCGGGGCTGGGTGTATGACCGTCAGCGACACCTGCCGGCCTCTACGCATGAGCAGAGAGAGAGCGGTGTCAAAGGTCAGGGACCGCCATGACGTCATGGACCACTGCTGTACAGACAGAGAGCATTTCCTCTGTTCGGGTGAGAGTCTTGACCAGGAATGAGGGTGATTAACGGGTGCTCTGGTTTGTCTTTCTCCCTTTTTCCCTTCACACGTGTGTCGTCCTTACCTTTCCTATTTCTTTCCTACCAAACATAAATCTATTGTTTTTATCTCTTCTCCATCTTTCCTATTAAAAAACATCTATCGTTTTCATCTCTTCTCCATCTTTCCTATCAAACATCTATCGTCCTTATCTCTTCTCCTTGTTTCCTATCAAACATCTATCGTACTTTTCTCTCCTCTTTTTTCCCTATCAAAATAATGCATATCGTCCTTAAATCTTCTTCATCTTTCTTATCAAACATACGGGCCTTAGCTTTTCCCCTCCTTTCCATATATATCGTCCTTATCTCTTCTCCTTTTTTCCTATAAGTATCGTTCTTATCTCTTCTCCTTTTTAAAAAATCAAACTTCTATCGTTCTTATCTCTCGTCTTATTTTCTATCATCATCTATTTGTCCATATCTCTCCTCCGTCTTTCCTATCAAACATCTATAGTCTTTCTCTCCCGAGGGTCGTTTTGAGGGAGAGGGGTGCTGTGGTGTGGTCTGCTCCTTCTTTTCTATTAAACATCTCTCGTCCTAATCTATATCTTCTTTTTTGTGTGTACTACTCTCTCGTAACACTTCTAATCATTTGCCCTTATGTGATCTTGTTGTGTTGCAAGTGCTGTAAAACTCTTACTTAAACTAAAACCTAAGACCAGAGACTCAAACTCAAAATACACTGGAGCTGTCAGAGGTAGAGTTGGGTTGAGCACAGGGTTTCACATTTAGAAAGGCGTTCAAGTTTCAAGTACTTTTTTATATTTAAAAAAAAGTGCAACTGATCTAATCCTCTCATTATTAATTAAATAGCAGTCCAGAAAGTGAACAGTTCTCCAGAACAAAAAAATACTGTCATAAACCTACAGTAATAATCTAGATCTATTAATTCAGGAGGCTCGTTCAGAAGGGATGGAGATGGTAATGTTGTCATGGCAGAACTCAGATGCACAGATGTTGTCTTAGAGAGAGAGAGAGACAGGTGGTAGCCTCTTGAAGGCTCGTGGGAGACAAAGTTGACAGTCGATAGATAGATAGATAGATAGATAGATAGATAGATAGATAGATAGATAGATAGATAGATAGATAGATAGATAGAT